GATGATCATCATTGACATTTGAAAGTAAATTTTGCAAATCCAAATTTTTCTTTTCAAATTCTTCTAGTTTGATTTGCAAATATTTGATTTTACTTTCAAGATCGTTGTTGGTTTTGGATATGAGTTTATTTTCATTTTTCAATTTTGAAACATCATTTTTATATTTTTAAAAACAATTTCTCATAATCCGAAGTCAACCCATTATATTCCTCTAATAGCTCATCATAGGATAAATCATCAAAATCAGATGAGTTAGAGGTTACCTTAGAATCTTCCCCGAATGCCATCAAGCACAAGTTTGCTACTTCTTGTTCTTCTTCATCGGAACCTTCTTCATCGCTCCATGTAGCCACATGATCCTTGTGCTTATTCTTTGATTGACCCTTTCTCTTTAATTGTGGGCAATCATATTTGACATGCCCCGACTTTTTGCATTCATAGCAAATGATCGGGTCCTTCTCCTTTGGTTCATTTTTAGGCCTTCATTTCGTTTGAATTTTCTTCCTCGGTAAGGTCTCATCATTTTTCTGAACCGTTTGGCAAACAATATCATTTCCTCGTCATCGTCATCTTCATCCGAATCACTCTCATCTTTTGTGGATTTGAGAGCAACTCCAATGTTTTTCTTCTTCTCCTTCTCCTTTAGTGTCTCTTCAATCTTATCAAGGTCCACCTCATCTTCAAGCATCATTTCATGAGTGAGGAGTGAACTGATTAGCTCTTCAAGAGTTAAGGACGTTAGGTCCTTAGACTCGATGATTGCCGTCTTCTTTGATTGCCACGATTTTGGAAGGGAGTGGACTAACTTCCTCACAAGCTTTTCATTTGAAATGATCTCTCCATATGATTTGAGACCATTGACAATCGTTGAAAATCTATCCGTCATAGCTTTGATATCTTCATTTGGTTTCATCCTGAAATTTTCATAGCTATGCGTTAGAATACTAATTTTAGATTTCTTTACCTCATCGGTACCTTCATGAGTGACTTGAAGTTTGTCCATATTTCTTTGGCGGTTGTACAAGATGAAACTCTTCCGTATTCATCTGGTCCAAGAGCACAAAAATATGATAAGGATGGCTTTGGAGTTGAGCTGGAATATTTTTGTCTCTCCTTCACTCCACAATCTTGGATGAGTGAGAGGCTTGATGTATCATTCTTCTACGACATTCCATGCTCCCATGTCACTTGCTTGAATGAAGTACATCATCCTATTTTTCCAATAGGCATAGTTAGCCTCATTAAAGAAAGGAGGCTTGTTGACGGGCATCGAATCGAGACCAGAGTCGAAGTTTGAAGTAGAGGTCATTGATGACTTTGATTATCGATGTAACTCTTCCCGAATCGACTCAAGAGGCGATTAAACCTTCAAATGAGTTAGGCTCTGATGCCAATTATTGAGTTAATCAATTGACGAATATGGCCAAGAGGGGGGTGAATTGGCAATTAAAATTTTGGTGGAAGCTTTTGCAGAAAATTGAAAGAAATTTGCATAGCGATTTAGAGTGGTTCGACTTTCTCAACCCAAGTCTATGTCCACTACCTTAGCTATCCACACTAAGGATTTTCCACAAATTCACTAATTTGTCTTTCTTTTGAGGACAAAGAGTAACCTTACAAACCCTCAAGAATTATACCCCAAATTCTCGAGAACACTCTCTCCCAAAGAGAACAATACAAATTTGCAAACTTACAAGGAAATCCATACAAGGTAGATTGTTTGCACAATTCTAGAACAAAGAAAAGAACACTCAAGAATGAATACAATTGAGCACAATAAGTGTTCTTGAAAGTAAAATGAATATTGAATGAAAAATAGGCTTGAAATGCTCAAACTTGAGGTTTGATGCTTTCTCTTTGATTCTCTCTTGATTCTAGTTGCTTGATGTTTCTTGCTTTTTATCAATGGCTTCTAAGCTTTCTTAAATACACCTTGAATCACTTTTGAACGTTGGAGATCATTAATGAAGTTTTTGGAGCCGTTTAAGTGTGAAAACAATTAATATTTCTGCTTGGAGCGTGGGGGGAATCGATACCCCTAATGGGGAATCGGTTCCCTAAGTGTAAAATTCAAATATTTCGACCGTTGAACAGTGGGGGGAATCGGTTCCCTCCGAGCATACTGGAATTCTCGGAGCCAAACCATTCAGGGGGAATCGGTACCCCTTGGGGGGGGGAATCGGTTCCCTCTGAGCAATCTGGAAATTTTGGCTTTGAAATTGTTCGAAATATTTTGTAAAATTGTTTTGAAATTATTTTAAGACTAAAACTTAATTTTACACTTGAGTAAGGATTAAAAATGACATTTGAAAGATTTGGAATAATATTTTGATATTCGAATAATTATATCGAATATACTTAAAAAATCTTTTTGAAAAATCTTAAAATTTATTTAACTTAATTTGTTATATCGAAATATCAAAATGTATTCAACACTCTAGAATCTCTCCTTTTCTCTCCGATGTGAGATTGACGTTCTCCACCTCACCAACGTAAGGTTAAATTAAGATTAAAATAATAAAAACAGAAAACTCAATTAATCTTAAAAAACTTGCGAGCACAAATATCTCGTCTACATGTCATTATTAGATAAAACTATAAACAAAGCATACAATAACGCCGACCCCCCCCCCCGGTGAAAATCAAATTTCAGAACCTGAATAAGTAGTCGTTATGTATTTGGTTCAAATATTTGTGCATGGTGGATAGTGGTAGGTTGATGATTAATATTTGTTGGTCCGATGATTTCAATTCTCTCCATTGTTGGATGTTTACAAGTTACCCTTCCGGCAAAAAGTAGGGGGTTTTGTCTTTATAGTGATAAATAATGTAAAACGAACATCATACATAATATGCTTTTATGGCAATTGCATCTAAAACAACAAAAAAGAAAGCAACTTAATAGCTCCCCGACCTAATATGCTGAACACCATATGCTGGTATTAGTTGAGTTTTTTTCTTCCGAAAAGTTTGTTCAAATTTTTTTTAATTTATTGATAATGTACATACACCTTGCAAAGGTCGTCATTTGAACCGAGAATCTATAGTGAGATCAACATTCTTTTTTACCGCTGATGCCACTTAATAAATTCGGGTATTAGTTGAGTTAGTATGGATGTTGTACACACTTCTATAGGTTATGCTTTCTCCTCGAGATATTTGGATTTTTTTTTAAAAAAAATTATTTGAAAAATAAACACATGTAACATATATCAAAGACATACAATTACACAAAAACAAGTTTAAGAGTAGTGGTAACATACGTTTATGGACTCTATTTGCAATTACTCAATGTGCACATGCTTAAAAACTATATTTAAACACCTGAAAAAACTTATATCTAAACAATAAGAGATTTGAGAATTTCAAAATCAAAACTTATTGATTTTGAAATATTTGGGATCATAGTATCTAAAATTATCTTTAACTGTCATATATATTCAAGTGTTTATATATACCCTTTTAAAAATACACTCATTAAGTGATTCTAGATAAGACTTATACACGTACGTCATTGTCGTCTTGTTCTTTTTAGATTATGACCACTAAGAAGAAGAAGAGTCAAACTGTACTTACGTTACACTTTTAGGTGCATATTGTTAAGAAACCGTTAAGTGATATGTGTCACATTCAGATTCTTTTAAATAATATTTTGAAATAATATTTTATATTTTAAAAAATAAAAAATATAAACATGACACTAAATAATTTTTTAACTGTAAAAATCTAAAAGTGTAATAGAGAAAACATTATACACATATTTTTAATAAAAAAATCTTTAGAAATTAAAAGTCAATTTTAAATATAATTTAATCACTTATTTTTTGTATTAAGCCATTTAGTTTTAGTTTTACCCTTCATAAATTAATCAATCATGTTAAAATTATATTTTCTTATTTATTTGAAAAAAGTGAAAAAAAATATAAATATAAATATTATTCATATATGTTAATAAGCCAAGTGACCACACTTGTGATTAGTTTTTATTATCCTTGTTATTATTAATATTAGTCATATTTGCATTAACTTTGATCATAATATTGCTTATTTATGGAATATGACCTAGCACTTGTAAATTGATAATAAAAGTGCGTTTTTTTATCATTATTTGATCAATTCTACTCTTGTACCCTAAACATTTAGCTGTAAACTTTCCTCGTCTTCTTACCAAAAATAGTCCAGAGTTCAACCAATATTATAAATATTTATTATTAAATATCATTCTACTTTTATATATTAATTTATAAAGTTAACTTTTTAAACATTATTAAAAAAACGTATGCATTACTAACGGAGGTTGGTTCAAGTGGTAAGCAACTTGATATTGCTTAAGTAAGATTTTCGGTTCGAGTCTTTGTATATGTAGAAAATCTCCTCTAGAAGACTCACCCGCAAAAAATTATATATATATATATATATATATATAAAGAAGATTTAGTTTTTAAAATCTTTTATTTAATTATTATTGAAATGAGAATCTGATTGATTTAATTATCAATCCGGTATAAGTCCGTTATTTCTCTTGTCTTTTTACTTGTATTTTCTTTCTTATTTGATTTTAAGTTAGTAACTATTTATATAGTTTTCCTATCAACATAATTGTTTGACCTCGAATCTTCTAAAAATATATATATAACATTCACTCCTACTCTCATATTATGGACTTGAATATACCCATAAAAGGGTGAATATAGAAGACAAGAAATGTGAACAAAGAAAGAAAAAACATACTTATGGGGTATGTACTAAAGTACCAAAATGTTTGATAAAACAACACATATCTTGGTCCCCCTCTTCTTCCACCTTTTTATTCTTTCTCTCTCTGTCTTACAATATTAAGACCTTGTACCTGTAAAAACATTTCAGATTTGGATTGTTGCGGGATGTATTTACAATAGACATCAATATTTCAGCCTGTCTATATTTAGTTTTAAACCCCTCCTTTTCCACTAGGGACTTGTATTCTCACAAAAACAAACATTCATATTGATAAAAGTCCTATGGAGCCTCCTAGATCTTCAGGGCCATCTCTCTCGGAAACTTCCACCGTTAACTCGTTCTCGAACGGCCTCAGCGCCAAACAACATGAAGATGACAACTATGATCTTGTATTGGATCTGAGTCTTTCCGGCAAAGACGATTCGAACACTGTTCAAGACTCGAAACAAACCGAACTCAATCTCATCGACTGTTTCAAGATCGTCGATCCGTGTGATGATCGGGTTTCGCCGGAGACTCCGAATCAACAAGGTAACGAAACTGATCAGCCTAGAGTGTTTTCATGTAACTATTGCCAAAGGAAGTTCTTTAGCTCACAGGCCTTGGGTGGGCACCAAAATGCACATAAACGAGAAAGGACAGTAGCCAAACGAGGGCAGCAAAGGATCGGTGCCGGTGCGGCGGCATCTTTCGCGACATTCGGTCGATATTCGAACGTGGCTTCGCTTCTGTTGCAAGGCTCATTCAATAAGTCACTTGGGATTAAACTCCACTCTATGATACACAAGCCATCTTTTCTACCTTCACCACATGTTTATGGGCACAACGAATGGTCTCGACGGCCGATTCATCAAACACCGGCTACCATACATCTTTCGATGGAGAATTTTGCCGCTGCCGGATCATCAGTGAGTAACGATACGGCTTCTAGGTTCGAAAGTAGTGTTCGGAAGTTCAGTCCGTCGACGGAGGGGAAGAGTAGGTATTGGTGGGATAGTAGTGTTAACCCTTTCAACACTAATCAAGATGAGTTGAAACTCGACTTGTCTTTGAAGCTCTAAATAGTCTTAGTTTTAATCTTCTAGTAAACGTGCTTTTCTAATCTCACTAGAGTTTCCTTTTGCCTTATTTTCCTTTTGAGTTGTAGTTTGATCTTCTGTAATTGCATTTTGGTTAGAGAAGACTTTCATCAAACACCGGCTACCAACATCTTTCGATGGAGAATTTTGCCGCTGCCGGATCATCAGTGAGTAACGATACGGCTTTAGGTTCGAAAGTAGTGTTCGGAAGTTCAGTCCGTCGACGGAGGGGAAGAGTAGGTATTGGTGGGATAGTTGTTAACCCTTTCAACACTAATCAGATGAGTTGAAACTCGACTTGTCTTTGAAGCTCTAAATAGTCTTAGTTTTAATCTTCTAGTAAACGTGCTTTTCTAATCTCACTAGAGTTTCCTTTTGCCTTGTTTTCCTTTTGAGTTGTAGTTTGATCTTCTGTAATTGCATTTTGGTTAGAGAAGACTTTTAGAGATGCTTCCAAATTCATTTCGTTAAGTTCTATTTGATCCAATATTTTTCTTTTTTAATATGGATGATTCTTCGTTGCTTCAATTTTTCTATGAATACTTTTTAATTTTTCACTGTTAATCTCAGTCGTTTATTTTCATTTATTTAATGATCCTAAAAAAACATAAAATTAAAATATTTTATGTGGTGTACGTAGATCATAACCACATATATTAAATACTAATATGTCAAAAAGTGACTTTAGCAGTTGAAGATTGCTTCTTGTTCACACTTTGCATGAACTAGGTTTTGACTATCTATAGTGCACGAAGAATGAAGATGCAAATTGTACGTACAAGTATATAATTATGGTAGCCTAGCATTATTTTCAAGGATTTCCTTTTAAATGTATTGTAAATTTGTATGTACAAATTTAAAAGTATAACCTGGCTATAAGTACATAATTTTGGTATTTATAGTGCATGAAGAATGAAGATCCAAATTTGTACGTACAAGTACATGCAAATCCATAAATTTAAAAAGATAAATGGCCCAAAACATACGAGTACAATAAATATGCGTGGGATTATTTCAAATTGTTATCGTATGTAACACATACGGTCAACTATGTGTATACAAATTGGATGGTTGAGAGCAATCTACGATGACAACAATTTTACCCACTTATAGTTTAAAAATAAAATAAAATTTAGCTGTGTATTCACATCATTTAGAATATTATATTATATAATAAAATCTTATTTGTCTTAATCTCTTACCTAAGTGAAATGGGTCCAATCAGAAGTGGGTGTAGATCGATTTGATGGGTACAATTTAGATCATGCAAATCACCATTCTATAAAACATGGTTTCCATGTTATGATGGGGAATAATTTCCATATTTGAAATATTAAAAATTGAAATTTCTCATTTCCCAAATCTGCATGGTGAAAATCAGATGGGCCTTCAATTCCTTGTTAGTTTGTAATTTATTATTGTTATTTTTTGAAATAAAAAAGGCCGCCTTTGAAATTTCGAAATCTATCTATGAAAACTATGAGGCTATCAGTTTATGGGATGAGAATTAGGTGAAAAATTCATGCTAACTACATAAATAGTCACCGAACTTTTAGGGTGATTGCATTTGGTCACCAAACTTTTAAAACTTACAATACAGTCACTTAACTTTTAGTTTTTTTTTCCGGTAAGGTCCCTGACGTAACCCTTCAGCAGATCATGGCAGCTGCCCAAACAGCACAAGAGAAGAAGAATAATTATCATGCTTATGAAGAAGGGAATCATGGAACTAATGATGCATGTAGTGCAGAAAAAGGGAGGAACGCAATATCAGGAAAGATTTCAGCTACTGCTGGGCAGTTGATTGCCTTCTTTAGGCCGGATCTTCCTGATTCGTCTGTTTCCACTCTTCCAGACAACAGTGTTATTGATGGTTCTGCGCCTTCAATTAGTCTTTGCTCTGCTTCTGCCAGAACTTCACGTTCTGTTATGCCAGCTTCGATCAGTGGTGTAAATTCTCCTAATGCTCAACAGCAAATGATTCAGCTTCACAAGTCGCACCAATTTGGGATAGCTGCTTCTTCTCAAAGTAAGCTGCCGGCAACAAGTAGTGGAAGTGCTTATCCTGATCACCTCCCTTCATCTTCTATGGCTGCCAAATTTCCAAATGTTCTGTCCTCTTTTCCTCAAAATATAGCGCAAACAAGTAGCAGTCCAGCTCAATCTTCTCAGTGGAAGAATTCTGCAAGAACAACTGCTTCTCAAGTATCTCCAACTTCATCAACCTTAAAAAAATTTCCCAGCAACAAGTCCGATCACAACAATGCCACACAGATTTCTTTTGCAGCTAATCTTAAATCGACACAAAGTCAACAACCTCCTACCAGCAATCCATCCTTCTCACCTCCGATGATGGTTGGCTCTCCCACAACTTCAATATCCAGTACTGCTGGTGGTAGCCCCCCAAGACAACAGGTTCCACTTCTACCGGCAACAAAGGTGGTCAAGCACCTAGTTTATCATCTCAACAGACCAAGAACTCGCCATCGGTGCCTAGTCAGATGTCGTCTCCTGTTGGTGGGAGGAGTGTGCCTTCGGTCCTAGGAATTTCCCACTTAGGTTCATCGTCAAATACGGGTACCAAACATCAGGTGGTGCTACAGCAACAGCAGCATCAAAAGCACGCGATGCATCCTGCGCAGCTGTTTTTTTCAAATGCTTACATGCAGTAGGCCCAAGCTCAACACTCACCAGGTACAACAGCTCCAAGTGGGTACTTTCTTCAAAGACACCGTAATGAGCAACAACAAGCACAGCCTCCGGGATCATCAACAAATTCAACGTCCATGTTGTCGTTATGTTCTCCAGTTACTCTTGCCAACATCGGTACCACTGATCCTGCAAAGCAGACCCATCATTTTACAGGTGTAGGATGTGATTGTTACAGGGCCCCTAAAATCAGAGGCCTCACACTTTAAAAAAATGCTAATAAAAATTTACTTCCTAATAAAATTTGCTATCATTCCTTTATTAATTTTCAATATATGATTTTAAAAAGAATCTTTTAGTTTTTTCTTTTATTATCTCAATAAGAATTGTAATCATTTCTTCCTAAAATACCCTACAATAAATGAATTATAATAATTTCTTCATAAAAAAAACCTACACTAAAATCATAATTTCTAACCGAAAAAATATTTTAGGAGTCTCATTTTATAATTTTGTTTTATTATAAAATAGTTTAAGGGACTCATTTAAAAAAGTAGCACAATGTTTCCGCATCTTTTAGGACGGGCCTGCCGCAAAGGCAGCAGTAGCTGCAGACAATATGAAGGGAGGTGGATAACACCACGGGACTAAACCATGCTGCTCAATTTGTTACTACACAGTCATCTGGAAAGCCATATCAGCTTGTTCCAGGTTTGTCGTATGAAGAAGAAGAAGAACCAGCTTGTTCCAGGTTTGTCGTATGAAGAAGAAGAAGAAGAGTTAATGGGAGGTAACGTGCCACGTCAGATAAAAGTAACAGGAGATAACGCCAGGGATCTTACTAAAAACGAAATAAAAATTCAGTGATTGTATTGAAAGTTTTAAAAGTTAAGGGACAAAAATACAAGTGTCCTAAAAGTTCGGTGGCTATTTATGTAGTTTACCTTAGAAGATAAATATTGAATATCAACATTAGGAGATAGTATAAATTTATACGGTTTTTACAAGTTAATAACTCATTTCATATAATTTTTGACACATTTGTATATTTTGTTATGTTCACTTTACTATCCGTGCGCTGATATATTTTACTCAATACTTTTTATATCATTTTACCGCTGACTCCCTCGCAAAACAGCAAACCAATTCTGATGGCCTACTACACGGCTTCCAGAAGCAGAGATCGTAGATCTCTGATGTAAAGGCCTTGCCTCCTCTTCACTTAAAAATGTGTAACAATATATTTTAGAATTATTAGTAGTAGAGTCGAAAAAAATTCTAAAGTAGGATTAAATGATTGTCTTGTATTTTAATATAAGTTTTTTAAATAATCAAAGCAAACACATGCCAATCATCTAATCATGTTTGTGTAATCTTTTTAACTCCACTGATAATAAATAACCTTATCGTTTTTTAAGGATAGATGAAAGACCTTTAGGGTGAGTTAATCCCTAAATTGTTACATCCTGCAACGACATTGCTTGATGGAGGTTCATTCAGTATCCCGTTTAAAGTCAAATTAAGACACTCAACCCCCTTTCTTTCGAAATAACTCATCAAGTGTCTCCGGTATTTAAAAAAATATCTTTCTTTGAATATTCTGATTTTTAGTAATTATATTTTGGTCACAGAATCATACCTCTTTTTCCTCCGAGCATTAGCTCTCCTAATTTCCCAAGTTAGCAATCAACTCCTTTACGTCGATTGAAGCTTCAGAATATTCTGAGTTTGAATAGTTATATTTCGATCAATTTTTGTTTAAGTTAAATGATATCTTTCTTTTTACAGGTTTCAGTTGCGATACTTTGTTCCTTTCCTTGTTTTGGATAAATTCTCCAGGTTGATTCTCCCTCTTTTTTCTTTCTTCTTTTAGTTTTGCTTGGATGTAACAATTAAAAAGTGATCTTTTTAATTATTGTGACAATTACAAATGAGTAGTTTTTTATTCTATATATATACATTACTTTTTTGTCAATTACATATTATATCGATTGAGTTTGAATTCAATTGATATTTCTTAGAGTTAGAGATTATAAATTTAAATACATATATGGGTAATTATCTATATTTGAATTTCTAACTTCGTCAAAAACCGATAAACTTAATTTAATCTCGATCAATCTTATAACTTTTTATTTTTTATTTCGATCTGTCCCGAACAAAATCCAACGTGACTACTAAAATTATGAACTTCGACAACAATATAAAAAGGGCAATATATGGTCAAATACTGTAGCTGATAGTCATGGCATTAAAGACAAAGGAAGACGATGAGGGCGACTTGGGGATGGGAACGGGGCTTGAAAGTAACATGAAACGTGGGTGTCTCTGTT